TTAATTTTCCAACTTTCCTCATTTCTTTTTCTTGTATCCTTTCTCTCCTTTCTTTGCTTTCGGTCTATAATCCTTTGAGTCCCAACTCCAGCTTTATTTAGTATTCCTTCCAGCGTTGCAAGATTTGGCTACCCTTTTATTTAGTTTGGCATAAAAAATATTATTTGACGCATTGGCTACTTTTTGGGCTACATATTATTTATAAATATATTAGGCGAATAAGAATGCACTTTAAAATGGTGTTTCGTCGTTTTTTATTAGAGACCCAAATAAAACAAATATTTGTGTTTTTCAAATACATTTTTGTTTGTCTCTTTTATAATAAGTGAATTTATTTATTTTTAAGTAAAAATTGAAAGTGTCTATAGAAGTAATTTAAAAAAATATTTTTATTCGTAATAAAGTTTTAATGCTTATTACTATAATCTAGACTCCTTAAACATACTTGTAGATTTAAGGATTGGGCCAAAATATACTTGGGCCACAAGTATATATATTATGCTTGTGGCCCAAAACTCTATGACTTCTTCCAATGTGGCCCAGAGAAACAAAAAGGTTGGACACCCCTGATCTAAGTCTTAAGCTTAGTTCACACTGAGCGAATAGCGAAAGCGAATGTGAAACGCGAAAAGCGATTTTTATTCGCTTAGCGAAATTGACCCTACAACCAAAAGGGAAAAGCGATTGCGAATTTTAAGCAGCCAATCATTTGCAAGCGAATGAAAACGTTATCTCTAAAAACAAAATGGCAGCTTCCGATATTCCGTCGTTAACCACATTTGTTTATTTATTCAGAAGAAAAATAAGTCGAAAAGAAAACGATGTTGGATGAGAGAAATATTAAAATTCGTAATTACAACATGTAATCTATTGCGTGAGAAAGTTTCTGTAGCCATCTTGAAAACAACAAGAACCACGTGACTAACTGTCGAGCTTTTTCGCTAGCGAAAAAGCTGGACAGTTCCGAACTTCGAAGCGATTCGCGAAATGGTAAAATTCGCCGGAAACGACGTCATGTCTGACATGTTATTCGCTCTGTTTTTCGTTTTCGCTAGCGAATCGCGTTCAGTGTGAACTAAGCTTTAGACGGCTGAATGGCCGTCTGTCTTGATTTTGATATCTTAGACGGCCATTGACCGCTCGGCCGAATAGCGGAGCGGTCAAGGTAAAAATCTACCGCTCTGGGGACCCGGAATCGAATCGGAATTCGTCAAAAAATCCCTGGGAATTTTTTGGGGATGGTCAGTCCAGATATGCCTTATCCCTCACCATCCCGCCGTCCCATTGTGGGCCTGGCCGAACCTATAATGGGCTTGCTAAAAGAGGCCCTCTTAGTGCCCACAGGGCAGATAGAATTTTAAAAATCTGTCTGAATACTGTATTTTAGACTGATCTAAATGGAACGTCGTCTCGACCCATTCGATACGTTTGGAATGTTCCGAGGACCCTGAAAAAAAGTCCATCGACTTCTGGATCTTTCAGATAGCAGGGATTTTCCGAAAAATCGGGAGAAAATTCACTAGTTTCTGAATCCGCCGAATGTTGAAGATACTTTCGTGATTCAGACGGAATTCCGTTGATTTCTGGATCCTTTTGATTCTCTGTGGGACTATCTCTCATTTCTTCATGTCTCTGCTCCTTACTCTCATGTCTTCGTCCGAAAATCCTATGCAAGATACTCACTTAATTTTTTGGATAAAATATCATAACAAATGGCGCCACCAAAACGTTAAATGTTGCTGGAAAAGTTAAGCAACTCGTTGCTGGATTCTTTAATGAGCAATAACTTAAATTATATTCATTTTAATTCTGTTATCTTTAACAATTAGTTTCATCAAATTCTCGAAAAATGTTGACATTTATTGTAAGACAATAAAAATGTATTTTTTTAAATTCTAATATTTTTCGCTTAATTTAAAATAATTCAAATTACAAACATTTTCGTATTTTGATGTTCAAAATTATATTGTTTTAAATTAATTATGTTTTTATTGCCAGATTACTGCTCTGAAAGAACCGAAAGTGGATCTAAGCGAGCCACCACAGAAATTTATGGATGATCTGTTTCGAATATGTCAAACCCCGTCCTTCAGCACTGGTCACCGATAAGTATGGAAAAAACTCCAGCAACGAGTTACTTAACTTTTCTGGAAACATTTGATAGCGCCATCTGTTACAGTATTTTGTTTTTTATATTTTTAACTATTATAAAATGTCAAAAGGCTTAATTTTGAGGGTTGGGATCGGTTTTATAAAAAATCGTAAATGCTAATAACGAGTAAAATCGTTTAAGTCCGTCTCTACTCGAGATACACACGATCTCCATTATCTCCCCACACCCTCGACTTTTAACTACGAAAATTTAATAACATCGATCACCCTAATACACAAACCTTCGTACAAAATTTCAGACATTTTTGACAAAATACACAGGAATTATTAAGTTTCAAACAGGGTGAACATAATCGTGCACACCAACACAGTAACATCGATACATGCAGAAATTACCCCCGATTTTTTTTCTCGACGTTCAAGGTTCCCTGTGTCCAAAAATGTAAAAAATCTTGTGGGGGGCATTTTTTGACCGATCTCCATACTTTTCGTCTGTTACGTATAACAGAACCGGGAAAGTAAAATCGATATTTTAATATGACATTATAATTTTAGTTGTTTAAGCACTATGAACTGCAATTAATCGACCACTAGGCATCCTTTAATCATTTATTTGTTTATTTAGTTGACTAAATAAACAAATAAAAGATGAAAGGATGCCTAGTGGTCGATTTATTGCATTTCATAGTGCTTAAACAACAAAAAATGTATAGCGACACGGTTTATGATTGGCATGACATCATAAGTTTATTTCTGATAAAATGTACTATATATAATTTCTTATAAAATTATAAATTAAATATAAAAAAACTTATTACATTATAGTAAGTACAATACAATATATCAATATATCAAATATGTAAAAATTATTAAGCAAGTAAAGGTTAAAATTTCATGATTATTTTTTATTTTTATTCTTTAAAAAATTGTACTATTTTAAGTTTAAAAAATTCGTTACGTGTATGAAAATTTAATAAATAAGTGATTTTTCTTTCTTTTATTTTATAATAATAATAATTATTATTATTATATAATAAAAAGGTTATTGAACAAATAAGTATAAAACAATATTACAGTACTTAGTTAATTCATAAGTGGATTAAAAAAAGTACATAATTTCACATTAATGAACCGTTAAAGTTTACAGTACATAATTTTCAGCACTTATAAGGATGAGATGTAGTATTTAGGATTTTATATATTCAGCAACCGCCAGTTATTCTGTCCACGTGGATAGAGAAAATTTCTTTTGAGATAAAACTAAATTTCTACTGAATTCCAGTTTAGAAGTATAATTATTATATTTTAAAAGTAATTTCATGATTAAAAGCCGTTAAATTTTGCTTGGTCCTTTAAAGAGAAAATTTATTTATTTTTTTAACAATAGAATTAAATCAACTATAAAAAATAAAGCAACGAGTTGCTTAACTTTCCAGGCAACATTTGCTGGCGCTATCTGTTAAATAGTTCTTTTTAATAAAACATTATATGTTTTTAATTATTATAAAATGGCAAAAAGCTTTGAAAATCATATGTTAAACTTTCAACCCAAATGAAATAATTTTATAAACATGAAAAACAATTAAAATATTACAAAGTTGATTGATTCTGAGAAGTCTTATAAAATACAGGGTGTCCCAACGAAAACGAAACGACAGAGATATCGCGTTCGTCCAAGCAAATCGCTCGGACAGGTCGATTTTATTCTCAAGGGGGACATCTTCTGCAATGAAGTTTTTGCGATTCTGAATACAACAGACAACAAAATTTTTAAAAACTTATTCATTTTTTATTAACTAAACAAACATTTATTTCAAATAAAGTAACACAAACTATTAAAAAACATAAAAAAACCTTTTAAGCTAGACCGCATATGCAAGGAAAAATAAGTTGATCATAAAATTAAGGTTGATAATGTGTTATCTGTTTCCAAATGTTATAATACAGTATTTTGTAGTGTTCACATTAAGCTTGACCACATAGTGATTCAATTCGAATTTAAGATTATTATTTGTTTATTGTGAATTTTTGTACACATAATCGTTATGGTTTACACAATTGCTGAAAGGGTAGAAATAGTAACTCTTCATTTCAGAAATGGCGAGAATGCTCATCTTACTNCAAAAATCTTTGAAAATCATATGTTAAACTTTCAACCCAAATGAAATAATTTTATAAACATGAAAAACAATCAAAATATTACAAAGTTGATTGATTCTGAGAAGTCTTATAAAATATATTACAGTATTTTAAATAGAAATTATTTATAATGTAAGTAATGTGTAATATAAAGTTATTACTTAATAGAAATTTCTTACATTTTCTAATATATAAACAAGTGAGCAAAGTCTGATTTTTAACCTTTGTTCAAACATTAGAATGAGTAGCCTGTTTCTTTAATTTTATTTAAATTTTTCCAAAATTGATAATCAGAATTTATAAATAACAAACTCCTTTCTAAATTAACATTAAATATTAAAACTTTTAAATCAAAAACAATTCAATTTATATTTTTATTTAGTTGTAAATTAATCCTTTTAGTTATAATTTAATAAATGTATTTATTGAGCATTTATAAGAAATAATACCAATTTTTTAATTGTTAAATTATTGAGTTTTTAAATAATAATTTGTGTTAATGTAAAATTTTAAAAGGTTTAAAATTTAAATGCATTAAAAAATAGGTTTTGCATCTTTTGAATATGTTAAATATGTAATTTTAAAGTGTTTTTATTAATTAAATAAAGCAAGTTTGGTTTATATGAACTCATAAAATCATATCTGTTTGTAGATAAACTGATAAATATCCTTGTTTATAATAAATATTTATTTAGATCATTTTTAATTAGAATATTTTTCAGATTAAAATTCAAAATCTTAAAAATTTTAAAGACAGTATTTAAGTAAATAAATTTTAGTTAAATAATAAATTTAAGCAATATTGATCAAGTTTTATCTGAGAATATAATTCAAATTCAAGTAATAGTATATGAATAAGTGCGGTAAGTTTTAATATGTCTTATGTATTTCTAATTATTGTTATTGAAATGGTAAATCGCATAAATTATTATAATTATTATTTATTTTTATTAGAAGTTCTCACTGGTCGGTATTAGATTAGGAAGAAAGCTTTTATAATTGATATTTACGTTGTCAAATATTCATTTTAGGTTTATTCTTACATAATCTCTCTTCAGCCTTTCTGTGGTCGAGTTCCTAAATACAACTTTACGAGTTTACAATAGTTTCAACGTTATCGGTACGATTCCTCCTATGAGAAATACTTTAACTATTTCGTACGAGAAAGGACGAGAATTATCTTTAGCAACATCAGTTGCGGAAGAGATATTAAAATTATTACTAAAATTTCGTCTTTTCTATCATATGAAATTGAAATAAACCAGCAACGAGTTGCTCAATTTCCCGGCAACATTTAAAATTTTGGTGGTTATCATACAGAGTGGTTATAATTAAAGTTGCGCTACTCAGACCTGTCTAGAGCACATTGTCGTGGACGTATTTTGATGAAACTTCGTATATATGTTATATGGACCATGGGAAAAAGGAAAATGCAAACAAAAAATATTTAGTTCGAATTTTTACTACTAGGTGAAAAAATGGTGCATGAAGAACAAGAAACACAAAATGGATTGCACATTGAACAAATGTTGTGAATAAAAACCTTTTGCGTGTTTCCATTTTGTGTTTCTTGTTCTTCATGCGTCATTTTTACACCTAGTGTAAAAATTCGAACTAAATATATATTTCTTTTGCATTTTTCTTTTTCCCTTGGTCCATATAACGTGTACACCAAGTTTCATCAAAATACATCCACAAGAACGGGCTCTAGACAGGCCTGAGTAGCGTAACTTTAATTATAACTATTTTGTATTTTATTTTTAAAACTTTTTATATATTTAACTATTATAAAATGGCAAAAGGATTAATTTTGAGGATATGGATGAGTTTTATGAAAAATTGTAAACGCTAATAATGAGTAAAATCGTTATTAAGTTTGACTCTACTGGAGATACGCACGATCCCCATTATCTCCCCACTCCTCAACCTTTAACTACCAAAATTTAATAGCATCAATCTCCTTAATAAACATATCTTCCTACAAAATTTCAGAAATTTTCGACAAAAAGCACAGGAGTTATTAAGTTTTTACTCTTGGCTTTTTAATTAATACTGTATTATTCTTTTTTTACGCACGTTATTTATCGGGGGAAAGGATATCAATTGTCTTGTGACATTTCCTTTTATATGTGAAATAAATATAAATAAATAAATATCTCTATCGAATAAATATATTCTGATATCATAAATAACAATNTTTTAAAACTTTTTATATATTTAACTATTATAAAATGGCAAAAAGATTAATTTTGAGGGTATGGATGAGTTTTATGAAAAATTGTAAACGCTAATAATGAGTAAAATTGTCACTAAGTTTGACCCTACTGGAGATACGCACGATCCCCATTATCTCCCCATTCCTCGACCTTTAACTATCAAAATTTAATAGCATCAATCTCCTTAATAAACATACCTTCCTGCAAAATTTCAGAAATTTTCGACAAAAAGCACAGGAGTTATTAAGATTTTACTCCTGTGCTTTTTAATACTGTATTATTCTTTTTTACACGCGTTATTTATCGGGGAAAGGATATCAATTGTCTTGTGACATTTCCTTTTATATGTGAAATAAATATAAATAAATAAATATCTCTATCGAATAAATATATTCTGATATCATAAATAACAATATCGATTAACTTAATTTAGAATTTATTTATATTTAAAAAATTTATAATGGAAAAATCTCTAACCAGTCACTAATTGGTTAGTAAAAACATTATATCATTTCAGGAACTTTATTAGTTTTTAGTAAAAAATTACTTTCCTCGCCAGACAAAACAATACATTCTAAATCAGCCAATTGTAGCATGACACATACTGTACAGTACGTAAAGCGGTGACATAATCAGAAGGAACAACTCGAAAGCAGGTTGCTTTAGTAGATCTTCAGTACTCTGACGTAGACAAAACGTTGAATTTAGGAACGTTTGCAAATGCCGACCGATATCATAACGTTGACATAAGATCAAGGAACGACAAATCTCAATCCGTTAGGCAAACGTTTGCGCAACGTTGACTTTAGAAATTCAGCTTGTGTCTTAAGATATCATAATCGGAAGTCCGGAACGATTGTGAATATTTGCCAGTAACTTATATTCAAGTTACATACAGTATATTATCTTGGTATTTATATTTCTGAAATTTTTAAAATTATTTATATCTTGTATTTATTTAGATATATCCTATNTCAGCTTGTGTCTTAAGATATCATAATCGGAAGTCCGGAACGATTGTGAATATTTGCCAGTAACTTATATTCAAGTTACATACAGTATATTATCTTGGTATTTATATTTCTGAAATTTTGCAGGGTGGTTTGCTTATTAAGTAGATTGATGCTATTAAATTTTTGTGAGTAAAGGTCGAGAGGGTGGAGAGATAAAAATGGTATGTATCTCTAGTAGGGTCGAACTTAATTACGATTTTACTCGTTATTATCATTTATAATTTTTTAAATAAAATTCGTCCCTACCCTCAAAATTAAGCTTTTCGTCATTTTATAACAGCTAAAAACATAAAAAGTTTTTAAAATAAAATATGATAACAGATGGCGTCACCAAAATTTTAAATGTCGCCGGGAAAGTTGAGCAACTAGTTGCTGGATTTTATTTTATATTATTTATTTTTGCTCTATTTTTTAATTGATTTACATTTTTAAATGCTAATTTTTGAACTTTCAAGATTGATTTCATTTATACTTTATAATCTTTTCTAAATTTGTTTATCTAAGGTTGTATTTATTTATGTATTCCTATAATTAAGGTTTAACAAATGAAAAATTATAAATGGAAGACACATTGTTTCCAAAAAAGGACATTACAAGTGTTTGAGTTCTTTTGTATGCCATCTGAATATCATACCCTTATTCTATTACTTTTTTATAAGATGTATTCTTTATAACGTTTATATTCTTTTTCCAAATAACAACTTTGCACTTTNTTTTCGTTTCCAAAAATACTTATTGTTACGGATAATAGAAACAATACAATAGACAAAGTTGTTAATAGCATGAAAACCGACAATTTACACTTGTTACATCTTATTAATAATAACTTCATAAAATTAAACGCATGCATGCATGCATTATACTACATTTATGAAGCATTTTCGGGCTGAAAAATGGTTTTTACCATGTCTTGTTCTTTATCTTTCTCATCGTTGTTCTTTGGACAGTATTATTTATATATGTATATATATATAGTCGAATCCATTTACGGAGCATCGGGTAAGGGAGCGGTTCACCATTGTTCCACGTTTCCTATTTTTTCTCTTATGTTTTACATTAGCGGGATTTCTGTTGAACAGTTTGTTTAAATGAGCAGAGCATTTTAGTAGCAGTCTGCATTGGATAAATCTTCCATTAGTCTGTTAAAAATTTAAATTTATAAAAACTACCTTTTATTAATACAACACAAAAAGTACCAAAATATTATTAAAAGTCATAGCAATGTTTGATTTGTTTCAATTTCATTAAAAATATAAATACATGTAATAATTATAAATATAAAAATACTTTCAGGGTGGGAAGATAATGGAGATGGTATGTATCTCTAGTAGGGTCGAACTTAATTACGATTTTACTCGTTATTATCATTTACAATTTTTTAAATAAAATTCGTCCCTACCCTCAAAATTAAGCTTTTCGTCATTTTATAACAGTTAAAAACATAAAAAGTTTTTAAAATAAAATATGATAACAGATGGCGTCACCAAAATTTTAAATGTCGCCGGGAAAGTTGAGCAACTAGTTGCTGGATTTTATTTTATATTATTTATTTTTGCTCTATTTTTTAATTGATTTACATTTTTAAATGCTAATTTTTGAACTTTCAAGATTGATTTCATTTATACTTTATAATCTTTTCTAAATTTGTTTATCTAAGGTTGTATTTATTTATGTATTCCTATAATTAAGGTTTAACAAATGAAAAATTATAAATGGAAGACACATTGTTTCCAAAAAAGGACATTACAAGTGTTTGAGTTCTTTTGTATGCCATCTGAATATCATACCCTTATTCTATTACTTTTTTATAAGATGTATTCTTTATAACGTTTATATTCTTTTTCCAAATAACAACTTTGCACTTTTCAGTTAAAGAATAAGAGTAGAGGAGAAGGTGGTATTATGGAACCCCAATTACATTTTAGTGAATTGTAAACAAGGTATCATAACTACACCCACATTTTTTGTGCGAAAAGTACCGGTAACTATTAAACTAAATGTTCCTAATTGGATTTTTCGCTAGTGTAATTATAAGTATGCTTTTCGAAGGCTTTTGTACAAAAAGTCCGAAAGTAGGCTTAGAGAAAATCGAGTGGTAATATGGAACCTTACTGTATATTTTCAAAAAATGCTTTAATGTAGCCAAAAAACAAATAGGAAAGAACAAAAAATGTTAAATAATTACAAAATTATTTACTCCAATGTATTTTATCGCAAAAATGATTTTATAATAGAAAAATATATTCCGGCAGCTCTTTTTCGATATTCTCAAGAAGAATTGACTTTCTACCTAGTGTTTTTTTTCCCAAATTGCTCCGGACGAAATGTCTGATTGCAAAGAGAGAGTTCGGAGGAGTTGAGTTCCATATTACCGTAAAAGCACCAAAGGGGTCCGTATTTCACGCATCGCCATCTCGAATTAACTTACGTCTGTCGAGACCAAAATTTAAAAAACGTGAACATCACACAGATTAATATGTACCCCTAAGTCTCTGGAACGGAATACATGCACCAGTGAACCTACAACTACACGATTTATATTTTTAAAATAATTAAATTTACTTAGCATTCAAAACTTGCGAATTTTGAAAAAAACAAACTTGCTGATTAAATGCGGACAACTGTTTAACTGAAGTAAAACGGGTTTTCCCCTTGCTATGGATGTCTGCCTAGTTCAGTTCAACCACATTCCGCTACAGTTCGCCTTTATTATCAGTTCGAAATGGGGTGGTTCCATAATACCCGCAGTGTTCCATAATACCTTCTCCTCTATTAATATATTAATTATATATTTTTACTTATTTTATTTAAGCTAAAATAATAATTAGATAAAGGATATCTTAACTTCAAAATATGCATGATATGCATATTTTTTAAATTCAGTTTTTAGAATTTTGTCTTCAAATTTCTAGAACATTTTTAAATTTTCTCTGCAGACTTATAAATTTAAGTGTTTAATGTACTTTTAAAATTTAATATTAGCTGTTTTAAAAATTTAAATGATCGCCATAATGATAAAAAAGAACTATAAAAACTATTTATGCAGATGGAATTTATCTTTATTATCGTCTACAAATGTTTTTATCTGTAGGAATTAGCAATGTGTATTTTTATATCTTGTTACAGCTATATATACTACATGCATTCTCCATAGATAAAACAGGTATTATTTATATTACAGATGGTCCATTGTATTAAATGGTTCAGATGGTAACTATTCTGTTGTTTCTGTTCTTACAAGCAGTACTGTGTTCATATTATGAACCGAATACAGTACCTGGTAAGAGCGTGTTCGTTCATCTGTTCGAATGGCGTTGGAAAGATGTAGCCGATGAATGCGAACAATTTCTTGGTCCTTTTGGATTTGGAGGCGTTCAGGTAAAATTTATGATATTGATACTATATTTATCAAATAATAGACATATTTGTTAAGAAAAGTGACGACTCTAGAATAAGGTAGTTAAACAATTTTATTTGCTAGTAAAATTCCAAATTATTCATAATACTGCCTAGCTCGAGGAGAACTTTTGGGAGAGTTTCCGATAGATCTCACCTGTAAACAAAATACGGTAGGGAAAGTAGGTGAAAGTAGTCTGATCATTCGTAAAGAAACCCCGGAAAAATTTTTTCTTCAGAAAGTCCATAATAAGGAAGAAATATTTACAGATTCCTTCGACACTCCTATTCCAAAGTAATTTCTGACGCACTTTTTTGAAGTGATATCGTCTGACGATCTTGCCACCTAGTTTCTTCATTATGGTTCAGGGCTTCTTCGTGCCCGCAAAGAAGATCCTTGCTTTTAGTGATTATTAGTTTATAATTATATCATAACAAACAAAATTCCGTTTTCATGGAGTAATGCTAGTCTAATATTAATTTTATTCTGTCTCTCCCTTTCAATGTCTTTCGCACATCTCTATACACAGTTCTGCGTGTAAGTCTTTTTCTGCGTTACACGCTAGTAAGTTTTGAAGCTTTAACATTGTCGGCTTTCCTTTCCTGACGTGATTGTTCCATAGTAGATCTATGAATTTTATAGACTGGATTTTGTCCGTTTGTTGAGTATCATATGTTTGCAGAACTTTCTCGTGTATTGTTTTCGTTTCCAAAAATACTTATTGTTACGGATAATAGAAACAATACAATAGACAAAGTTGTTAATAGCATGAAAACCGACAATTTACACTTGTTACATCTTATTAATAATAACTTCATAAAATTAAACGCATGCATGCATTATACTACATTTATGAAGCATTTTCGGGCTGAAAAATGGTTTTTACCATGTACAGTACTTAAGTGTCTAACTCATCTTTATTTTGACAAAATGTGTCTTTATCACGTTTTGTCATTGACCTCTTCATATGCTCTTTAGATAGTCTCTGTTTTTTAAGTTAGTTTATTTCGTTGTATTTAGCATGTTTGTTGTAAACTTTTATACTCCGAAAGAATTGTTATATAACCAAACGAACAACCGGATTATCGGGCCAGTTTTAATTATAAAGTAATTTGACTAGAGGTAGGCGGTTAGGCCGCCATCTCTTGATAAAATTAATTATAAATAAATTAATTTTAATTTAAAAGGTTCTGGAAGAAAAGAATCGGACCGTAGCAAAACTCGAACTCTCAATTTCTGCATATGCATTGTCAGTTTCTCCTCCAAAACTATTAATAATTAAGATATAACCAAAGTTTGTTTGGTTTTAATTTTAAAAAATTGGGTTCTGGATTATATATGAATTCATTGTATTTTATTATAATTTTTCCACAAGAAATCATACAGATCTCCAAATTCAATATAACTATATCAAAGGAAACATTTATTAAATTATCTGTACTTTATAATTTATATCGGATTTAGACAATATTTTCTGCTCATTTTCTTAATAATTTTAAAGATACTTTTGTTGGTTGTTTAGATATCCCCACCAAACGAAAATGGCATCGTATGGGAGCCCTTTTGGAATAAAGAAATTAAGAGACCGTGGTTCGAAAGATATCAACCAGTCAGTTACAAACTTGGAACTAGAAGTGGCACTGAATCTGAATTCCGTGAAATGGTTAGAAGATGTAATAATGCTGGTGTCAGGTAATATTTTAATACAGGTATAAAAAGTTATTTTTAATTGCCATACTTCAAGAAAATTATCAATTATAATTTTATTTATAATTATAGATCACAATGAAAATTTCGGATAATAACACTAATATTGACACTAAAATTAGTTTACACAGACATTCGCTAGCCAGAGTAAAAGCGAAATGCGATATTTTTCTATTAATTAATGCATTTGGTTTGTGAGTGAAGGTAAATGTCAATCCAACAAGATGGCTGGTAACATTTAGTTTTGACAATAATGCTATTTTTTTAAGTTTCATAAATTAGTTTCCCGTAAATGACAATACACAAAATTAAAATACTTGGCTTTAATCATTTTCATTCTGGGTTCGGCCAGACTCACAATAGCGTGGTCGGACAGTGAAGGACGGGGTTCCACATTCCGGGATGATCCATCTTGAAGTAAAAAATTTTTGAGGTTTCAGACCCAGCTGTATTCGTCCCCGGTTCCCCTTGAGTGGTAGACTGACACTTTGGGTAAATTCTTTTATTCTTCCGTATAACTCCGCGCGCGTAGCATTTGTTTAAAAATTCCTGCTGTGGAAAGCAACGTGGCGTCTTCCATGGCTCAGATAGTTTTGTTTCAATGTTGATTAGGTGGTTTTATGAATGAAAATTCAGTTGAGAAAAGTTGTGAAGGCGAGCGTTAATGCGCGCTGTGATGTAAGTGTCATCTCGAATTTTTTTCGAATGGTAGCCGATATTCTAATATTTTCGTGGCTACTTTGAATGCTCTGTCGGCAAGACAATCGATTTTATGGTTAAATTTTACAATGAAGGCCCTTCTTTTAAATTTTTTCTCTAAAAACGCATATTTTATAATCGTAGATTCCTTTATCACGACACTATCGATGGTACGACTGTTTTTTTCTTTCACCATCGTTCCCAAATGTCTACAAACGACAGCGCACGTCCGTGATAGCAGAGATGTTAGCTACCGCTATTAAAGAATGTACCCTTTTAACCGCTCGGCCATCAGACCCTCCGCCCGTCGAATCTGTTACATCATCAAAGATCATTATACACAATATGTTTTAAAATCTATTTTGACGTAATCCAATATCATCTCAATTTTTTACAAATAAAAGTTAGCAGGAAATAATAATAATTTTGCGTTTTGTAGAATATATGTTGACGCCGTTATTAATCATATGACCGGAGACATTGGCAAAGGTCAAGGCACTGCAGGTAGTCATTTCGATCCAGGTGCTCTTCAGTATTATGGAGTTCCTTACGGTCCAAGCGATTTCAACAATGATAAATGCCACAGCCAAAGTGGGAATATTGAAAATTATCAAGACAAACATCAAGTATAATTTTTATTTATGACGTTCTGATCAGTTTTTATGTGTCCAATACATACTTTGAATAATCGGACTCTTTCATTATATCGCTATTTATAGGTCCGTGATTGTCGCTTGTCTGGTTTGGCAGATTTAAATCTAGGCAAACAATATGTCAGAGATAAAATCACCGAATATTTAAACTATCTGATCGATATCGGAGTAGCTGGGTTTCGCTTTGATGCTGCCAAACATATGTGGCCTTCCGATATTAAAGCCTTAAGAGATCGATTGANGCATATCTCGAAATTTCAAGGGTTGTCTGGTTTGGCAGATTTAAATCTAGGCAAACAATATGTCAGAGATAAAATCACCGAATATTTAAACTATCTGATCGATATCGGAGTAGCTGGGTTTCGCTTTGATGCTGCCAAACATATGTGGCCTTTTGATATTAAAGCCTTAAGAGATCGATTGAAAAATTTGAATACTGAATTTTTTCCACCCAATACTCGTCCTTTTGTTTTTCAAGAGGTAATAGATTTGGGTGGCGGAGAAGCTGTCAAAGCTGACGAATATTTACATATTGGAAGAGTCACTGAATTTCGTTATGGAAAACACTTAGGTGAGTCATTTTCCTCTTGTTATTAAAATCATAGATTGCAATTAATTTTTTCTAGTTATTTAATTCAGGTGATGTAATACGAAAGAATTACGATCAGAGATTAAAGTATTTGAAAAATTTTGGAGAGGAATGGGGTATGGTTCCTGGTGGAAATGCGATAACATTTATTGATAATCATGATAATCAAAGAGGACACGGTGCCGGAGGTTTTGGAACCATCCTTACTTTCTTTGAAGCACGAATGTACAAGATGGCCTCTGCTTTTATGTTAGCTTGGCCTTACGGTTTACCACGTGTAATGAGTAGTTATCAATGGCCTCGACATATCGAACATGGCAAGGACAAAAATGATTGGATTGGTCCTCCTCACGATGACAATTATAACATTAAACCAGTGATTAGAAATTCAGATATGACTTGCGGAAACGGATGGGTATGCGAGCATAGGTAAGATGTTACAACTTCTGATTGTGGAAGCAAAGAAAATAATTTCTTGATATTTTAGATGGCGCCAAATATATAATATGGTGAAATTTCGGAATGTCGTCGGTTTCGAACCAGTAGATTACTGGTGGGACAACAACTATCATCAAATTGCGTTCGGTAGGAAAGGGAAAGGATTTTTGGTCATTAATAATGACAACCATCCAGTAGATCAGAATTTTCTCACCGGTTTACCTGCTGGCACTTATTGCGATGTAATATCTGGTAACTTGGAAAATAATTCATGCACAGGTAAAAAAGTAAACGTTGGAAATGATGGTAGAGCTCAAATTTTTGTAGATAATAATTGGGAAGATCCTATGTTAGCTATTCATATCGAAGTAAGTTTATCAGTTTGTTTTCTTTAATTTGTTTTGTTGAATTTATAATAATAAATGTTTTATATTTTCAGGCAAAACTAAAGTAATTATTACATGCATAGAAGTCATTCGTTCAACACAGAATAAATGCAATGGAATTTTGTTAAAATGTTTGATTTATTTAAATAAATGTTTATGATTTATTCATTTTGAAATATTTGTCGATTATTTCTAAAACTGAAAATTCGATAAGTACTTTACATCGAATTAAATAACATTACTGCATAAAATTAAAAGTGTTTTAATTTAAAAACGAGCAAATATTTATTGTGACATCGTGCCGGACTAGAATTTTTAATCACATTTTTAATTAATTAAATTAAATTTAAAATATGCAGTATTTTAAATTTAATTAATACCACCTCAAACTAATAGTCGCTTGCCCCTGTACATCATACTTTTCCTTTAACATTACAGTCGTAGCCGGTCATCTATCTAACACCTTTCAGGGGAAAAGTTTTGAATTGAAATAACATGACTTCTAGTTTGCATCATAAGTTCACATATAATTAATTGGGGCCTTCTGTCTTTATGGTTTCCATGTCTGGTCGCATCTTTCCTCTATCTAAGTCCGTTCTTAAAATTAAGGAAAGACAGACAGACGACAGACAGATGACAGTGGAAATTTATAGGTTACGATTTTTTCAAATGTCTAAAACTGTAATGTTTGCGAAACATGATTTTCTTTTACTTTTTCCACTCTGAATCATGACCATCGTGATTTGTCCAGACGTACAGTGGGGATGATCTGACGATGAGAGACAAACCCTGCCCATGTTCAGTAACTCAGACTGCTAAGTAAAAAATCTAAATTGCTAAGAGGGCGGAGATAAGAAATGTTGAGTATCCTTGAACAGTTATGCTGAGTTAGCAAGGTTGACTGATCTTGTGTAAAAATGGCGAATGACGTAATCATCAGAAAATAAATTACCATAATGGCAATAATTTTTTGACTATTATAAAAAATATATTTAGTCCACACGAGCGCCATCTCGCAAATCGTACGATGAGACAAATGTAATGAGTCACTAGTAGAAGCTAGCATAGACAAAACAAGATGAGGATGAGTGAACTACTGTAGTTAAAATTCTAGAAGTAAGAAAAGTCAAGAAGTAATTAGAAACGGGTTCAGCATCGCAGCATAATTAAACATAGCAAGAATTCTGCGGTACAGTACTGAATACGGCTCTGATATATCTCGGATAGACCACGCCTCCGAAAAATTCCTGGGTCTTTTACGGTAAGGATTCGATCTCGGGTTTCCAGAGTGGCAGGCTAACTTCGTGACGCCACGGCTATTCGGTCGCAATGTTGGTTTATCCGATGGCCAGGTGTTAAGAGAAATAAATTAGACTGAAAAAGTAAAATTGGGAGTTTCAACAGTCCAAGTGTTAATACTGGCAATATATATAGCAGTGGCGTGCCGTGACATTTGATGAGAGGGAAGCTGTGTTTCTGTAAGAAGCCGACTTCCAGGAGCAATCAGTTAATTCTTTAAATGTATTTTTAATAGGTTATTTATCCGACGTAATTAATAAATAAACAAGTTCAATATAATTACCTCTGTTATTAGATTCAATAGATTCCCTATGCCCTCTAAATGCCGATTCTTGCTTTGATAAAACTTATAACATCTATTAATTTAAATATATCTATTAGCCGTAACTATCTCGTTATAATTTTCGATATTTATTTTATATTATTTACTAATGTTAAATTCTATTCCGCTTCGATTTCCAAATTGCTTCAAATACGAATAAATCGACGATTTTTCGTGTCTTTTGCCAGCTAAATTGTCACAGCCATTCTTATTCCACACACTGATTTCATTTGAAAATTTCTGTATTCTGAGAGTGCCTAATGGGCTGGCTGCATGATGTTTACCGGGATTTTTTCATTCACGTGTCTAACAACTGAATAACAGTGGTTTTATATATAAAACCTTACTGGACGCATCTTTACCTTGGCAGACAGAACATATATATCGATGCATTAAACTGTCAATCCAATATTTATTTTTTTTCATTAGATGATCTATTTATAAAATTTTAATTTACTAAAAATATTCATCTGGTTATGAAACACAATTTTAGCTCAAGAGGCAAGACACCATCATGGTCGACGTGGAAATCTGCAAGCAAATTTTGTACCAAGTAATTAGACAAATAATCATCGATCAACGAGTATTCAGTTTCTGAAAATGACTTTCCTTATTCGGTAAGAATCAGTTGCAATCAAGTCTTAAAACATTGTATTCCTGCTGAGGCTTTCACAAGAGTAAGCCAGAAAACAAAGTACATTCTTCACTAACTGGAATTTGACAAAAACTTAAAAGAGAAAAATAATATTTTAGTTGAAACTAATGGATTGATAAACAAGAGATAATTAGAGACTTATCTAAAAAGTCGTCATTTTGCCCGAGCTTCGCATCGCTCATCTGTTAGTTTTAAATAACTTGAATATATTTAAACATGTATGTTTAAATTATATTTTATAATACTCTATAAATGAAATATAATTTATTAATTTTATACAAATTTTTATTCACCATTTAAAACTATAACAGTCTTATTAAGTAACTTTAAATAAGTTTGTTGAAAAGCCGATTTAATAATTCAATCAGAAACAGTGATTCAAAACATTTCATTTATTAAATACATTATTTTAACATTATAAGAATACATATTTATTATTTAGTTTAGTTTTTAGAAAACAATTATACAAAATAAATCCAATAAATATTGATAAAATTTACAAATATATAAATAATAAGTAAACATTTTTTATATACATTAACAATGAATAAATATTAAAAAAAAAACATTTTTTAGATATACATTAACAATAAATAAATACGTAAATAAATTTTTTTAGATAT